GTGTGGGTAGGAGAAATGCAAGAGGGTTTCATCCTCATCTTTCATAGCAGCGAGTCAATTCCTGCCATCTAAAATTAACCCACATAGTTAAGAAAAAAAAGTAGCACCGTTTCCAGACTTTTGATGATTTTAATAACCTCTTTGCTTAACCTGAGAAGCCCGCAAGGCAAGCCAGCATATGTGTGCCAGATTTGTGTGCAGCTGTTTTGATTATTTAAGGCCAGTTTCGTGTTTTTAAATATTTTAAAAATCTGAATGTTATTAGGTGGTAGTGAACTTGCCAATTAACCCTGTGGTGAAGAATCATTATCTGAAGCTCAGCAATTCCTATAGTAAGATGAAATAATAATTGATCCACTGATACATTCCCCTCATTTGTTTTTTAAAACATATTTTTCTCTGGCATAACAAATGGTATTTTCCCATACCACAATGACAGAAATCTGTTTCCTGGCAAATACAGGCACCACGGCCCCATCTTTTGCTTAACTTGGCTGCAACCAGGCCTTGAATTCCCTGCAATCATGAGTGATGCACAGAGAATGACTTTCATGGAAGGTCCGTTGCACCATGTAGAAACACTCAAGGCATGCTTCTCCTTATGTGGTGTCTTACTCTATTTAAAGCCTTAAGGGATTAGCTGCTGTCACCTCTAAGCTATTTCTTTGGCTCAGTTTTAACTTTTAGTCCTTTAAATAAACTACAGATTGGGACTGAACCAGAGCCAGAAGAAACAGCTGATTGTCTGTGAAGGCCCCTTTGGGAGGTTCTGGCCCTGACCTTAAAGGCTGAGCTGGTCATTCTAAGAAAAACTCTGGGCAGGCCCAGGGTGTACTCTGATGGCTTTAGGAGGGACATCTGATTGACATGGGAAGGACTAATATCCAGCAGGAGACCAGAGATTAGGTAGAAAAAGAACTACAGAATTCTCCAGTTAGTATTTCCATATACAGTTACTATATTATTTCCTCAGAAATCTGCTGACGGCAAAAGACATTACCTTAGAAAAGCAAAACTAGCCTTTTATTTGGATTAAATCCTGCAGCAAATAAGAGAGAGATGCCTCTCACCTTAGGTTTTGAACTTCTAAACATTTTCAGATTTGAAAGAATAAAGGCTGAACTGTATGATGGTGGCAGTGAGAATGGGGGTGATGGTAGCTTGTACTCCCATTTCCCTGCCACCATCATATAGTCAAGTTTTGGAAGAACCAAAGTTTGGTTCCTAATTGGATATGAGAACAGAGAAGAAATCAAACTAGATCATTTGAATGGCAGGTAGTATAATTAACCATGGGCAAGTAAGTTTTATAATGTCTAATCACTGGGGTGTATATCTGAAACTAATATAATGTATGCAAATGTAATTGAAAAATGATAAAAGATAATGGTAGATATTGCTGATATAGAATTCCTTTGTCAGCCATTTATTTTATAATATGTGGATGACCTCCTCCTCTGCTCATCTTCAAAGGAAGCATTACTTGAAGACAATCTCCAACTCCTTCAAGAACTAGCAAAAATGGGGACATAAGCATAAGGTATCTACAGAGAAACTTCAGTTCTGTAAGACTTAAGTTAAATATCTGGGATATTTAGTTACCAATAAGGGTCTCCTCTTGGATTCAAATAGGACCCAGGGTATTTTAACTTTTTCTATCTCCAAGACTGAAAAGTAACTCAGGAGTTTCCTATGCTTGACTGGATTTTGTAGAAATTGGATTCTTAATTTCTCTGTCATGGCTTAACCTTTATTATCCCTTCCCAAGGCTGAAGAGACAGAGCCCCTCAAATGGTAGACAGAGGAATTCCAGAAAGCCTTCAATGAAATAAAAGCAGTCTTTATGACCCACCTGCTTTAGGACATCTTAATTTTGATTGCCCCTTTCCCTTTCTGTGCATTAAAGAGAGGGTAATGTGATAGGTGTCTTGACTCAATGGCATGAAAGCCAACAATTGGATCTGGTAACCAAAGGTCTACCTCCCTGTATGACAGCTATTGCAGCCCCTGCCAATTTACTACAACATATAAAAGAGCTAATGGGCTCTCCACGGACGATGTGCCTCATTCAGTGGAAGTCTTACTTAACTCTCACAGTACTCAGAACTTCTGTGCTAGCAGACTAGCCTCCTTGGATGTTCTTTGATTGTCTTCATCTACTGGGACTGTTTCTCGCTGCATCACTCTGGATCCTGCTACTCTCTTTCCTCGGCCCTTCAAGGAAGGCCCTCATGACTGCTCGACATTAATAGACTGACTACTAAATTCTTAAATTGATTTACAGGAAACGCCTTTTGAAAATGCTGAACCAGTGTGGTTTACTGATGGTTCTTACCTAATAGATGGAGCAGGCTACTATCAGGCAGGCTATGAAATTGTCTTTCTAGTTCTAACTGGTGTAGCTCAGTGGATAGAGCACCGGCCTGCGGACTGAAGGTTCCCGGGTTTGATTTGGTCAAGGCATGTACCTTGGTTGCGGGCACATCCCCAGTAGAGGGTGTGCAGGAGGCAGCTGATCGATGTTTCTCTCTCATCGATGTTTCTAACTCCCTATTACTCTCCCTTCCTCTCTGTAAAAAAATGAATAATGTATATTTTTTTAAAAAGAAATCGTCTTTCTAAATGAAACGGTTGAGGCAATCCAATGCCTCGAGCAACTTTTCCTCTACAAGCAGAGCTCTGTGCATTAATTCAAGCTTACAATTTGGTCAAAGGTAAAACAGCTAATATTTACACTGACAGCAGGTATGTCTTTGGTGTTGCCCATGACTTTGGTATGTTCTGGAAGCAGAGAGGATTCTTGACTACTGGACAAAAGATTTAAAAAGTTCATATGATGTAGAAGTCTTAGAGGCTAATCCAATTTTCTAAATCTTTAGCAATCATAAACATCCCTGGACATTCAGTGGTAAACACTATGGAAAGTAGAGGTAACCATTTGGCTGACACTGCTGCTAAGTTAGCAGCATTAAAGCAAGCTCAGCCTTTTATGGAAACACTGATGCTACTGGCTAAAGCAACTGAAGATTTAAAAATAACATTATGGCCCTAACCAGTTTGGCTCAGTGGATAGAGCGTCGGCCTGCGGACTGAAGGGTCCCAAGTTCGATTCCGGTCAGGGGCGTGTGCCTGGGTTGCGGGCACATCCCCAGTGGGGGATGTGCAGGGGGCAGCTGATTGATGTTTTTCTCTCATTGATGTTTCTAATTCTCTATCGCTCTCCCTTCCTCTCTGTAAAAAATCAATAAAATATATTTTTAAAAAAAGAAGGGGAACGCAGGGGGCTTCTGGGCCTGCTTTCTCCTCGGGTGAAAGCATCCCCATGCAACAAGTAAAGGACTCCTAGAAATTATCTTCCCCATTTGGGGAATTCCCTCGGTGCTCCACAGCAATCTGGGAGCTCATTTCACAGGATAAATTATACAATCTGTAACATCTGGCTGATTTTGCAATATTTCCATTGTGCTTATCATCCCCAGTCCTCTGGTCTTCTCAAACAAACAAATGGGGTAATAAAAACTCACTTGGCAAAACTCACAAAGTCTTTTCATCTGCTTTGGCCTAGGCCTCTTTTCTTGGTATTGCTCAACCTTAGATCTACCCCCTTGGGCAAACATAGACTGTCTCCTTTTGAAATTATGACTGGCAAACCCATCATATTACATCAAGGAATATATGAACCAGCACTGCTGAAAGGAGACCTGATTTACTATAAAACAAAACAAAACAAAACATGTAAGGGCTCTTAAGACTAATTCACGCTCCTATAGCAATTTCTCCATAGAAAACTCCTGGGAGACAAAGATCTACAACATTATTATCTCCAATCCAAAGATTTTTGTCTATTGGAATGCCACATCCAAAAAGATACCCTTCAGCCACGATGGGAAGGACCTTATCAGGCATTACCTACTAACCTTTATGCTGCTAAACTTACAGTTAACTCAAAGATTCACGTTTCTTATTTATAAAGGACACCAATACCTGAGTGGTCATCTCATCCCACTGGAGATCTTAAGCTGAGAATCTCAGAACCCAAGCCCACCGCTAGAAATCTCATTCCGAGACAAGCAGATGGCAACTGATGTTTCTCTTTTCCCTCTCTCTCTCTCTCTCTCTCTCTCTGAAATCAATAAATTTTTAGAGGTGGAAATTTATTTGTCATAACTACTGTGAGTAACCCTTTTAGCACTTGTTGGCTCTTCTGCAGGGGATACTCCATCATGATGGCTTATGTAAAAAGCACAACACAGGCTTAGATTGTACAGACATTGCCTTTGTGCTGCCTCAAGCCGTGCTGTATATGTGCCCAGCTATGGAGACCAACAGTACCCACTGACACCTATTTGTCCTTGTCAGTTGGAAGAGAGGCCCGATTTTAGCTCTTTGAGGCTCAGAACATTCTGGCTCTCTCCTCAGAGCCTAGCCCAGTGCCTGGCATATGGTGGGTGCTAAATAAATATTTTCTGAATGAAAAGATGGATGAATGAGTGAATTTAAATCTTAAATTTCATCTTCCTACTGACCAGGATTCCCTTATATTTTCTCTTACATTTAATATTATTCTAATTAACATTTAATGGCACTTTTTGCAATTTCTTTTGTTGGCAGCTTAGAATGAATCCATAATGCTTTTCAATCTTTCCTCTGATAACAAAGCTTCTGGTTAAATGGTATCAAAACAATGCATCCAATTCTTTTTTTAAACATTTTAATTAAAATATTTTAAAATTATAGTTAACATTCAGTATTTTTATATTAATTTCAGTTGTTCATTAATATTCTTACATTGTTTCTAAATGACTCATTAAGCAACTCACTGTGCATGGTAATGCAGCATTTTTAAAAATTTTTGTCTTTAACAGTAAAAAAGGCATTTAAATGACAACTCTCCAAGGCATATGTATGCATATGTGTGTGTATGCGTAAGGCAATTTATGTGTGTGTATATTTTAAACAAAAATTTCCCAAAACAATACTTAATATATGGAATGCACCATGATATTTTCTACTCTGGGTTAGTCTGTTTTATTTCATCTTTTAAAAATTCCTGGTCGTGCCCTGGCTAGGGTTTCTCAAATTTCATGCACCAGGCCTCTAGTGTCAGTAATGTGAAAGAGTGATGGTGGACTTCATTTTCAGTGATAGTTTTTTCTTTTAGCAATTCAACATCTATTATTTCTCTGATTGCATACAAAATATTGACATATTCTCTTCAGTGGAAAAATTGATAAAATGGAATATCTACAACAATTTTAGATTTCCTAATTTATTTATTCATTTTTATTTTTATTTATTTTTATTAGTTAAGGTATTACAAATGTGTCCTCATCCCCCCCATTAACCCCCAACCTCCCCCACACTCCTGCTCCCATCCCCCTGTTGTCCATGTCCATTGGTTTGGC